ACCATCCCCTAGCCAGTGTGGCTCAGTAGATAGAGCATCGCCTTGGGGACTCCAGGGTCCTGGGTTCGATTCTAGTCAAGGGCACGTACCTTGGTTACAAGCTCAATCCCCAGCCCTGGTTGGGGTGTGTGTGGGAGGCAGCTATTGATGTCTCTCTCTCTCTCTCTCTCTCTCTCTCTCTCTCTCTCTCTCTCTCTGCCTCTCCCCCTCCCTTCTACTCTCTAAAAAAAAAAAAATTGGAAAAATATCCTTGGGTCAGGATTAACAACAACAACAAAAGTATTTCCCCAACTCTGCTTCTTACACTCCTGACTCCCATCCCTCCCCAGCCAATCCGCCTTCCTCTCTCACTTGCAGTTGAAGTAATCTCAGAGGGGATTCCCCACTGAAGTTTATTTTCCAAAAAATTAACAAAGCATAATTTTAGAACATGCCAGTCTGCAGTTGAAAACTGCCCAATTGTCCCGTCTCAATCAGGAAAGTCCCCAGTATCTCAGCTTGGATCAAAGGCACTGTATTTCCAGGCTGCTAGGCATCTGTCCAACCTCTGCTCTCACCCTCTGTACCGAGACTGAGAAGGGAGTAGCCTTCAGCCAGCTCAATACCCCACCTCTTTCCTCTGCTCGGGACCCTGTGCCACAGGTGTTGTAAATGTTATCTCCTGAGAAAGCCCTTCTCTGACCTTGTGAATCTGACACACCCACCCTCCCGTCACACTGATCCCTAGGCACTTGTCCTGGGCCCGTTTTCTCCGAAGCGCTAACCACTGTGTAATATTAAGCACATGCACATATGTATGCCTGGGCTTCCCTCCTTCACCAGCCAGCTGCTCAGGAGCAGTGATTCTGATCATCGTGTTAATCTGTATTTCCAGCTCCCGGAACCCTGTGTGGCACCGAGTAGGAACTCACATGACAAGTCACTGAAATAATGAATGAATGCATGTTAACACACACATTTCATTTAGAAATGTGCAGTAAATGAAGAAGAAACAGCTAAAAGTGTTTTAAAAAAACCACCCGCCTTGATGAGAGAGCTGGTTAAGTGCCTGAGCACTTTTTTTTTTTTTTGCCTCTAATCCTTTCAGCACTATATGATGCTGTGCATTTTGTGCATGAAGTATTTTTAAAATGGAACCTGGCCAGTGTGGCTCAGTTGGTTGATCATTGTCCCATTCACCCAGAGGTAGCTTGGGATCCTTTTCTGTGGCCTCAGCCAGGCACAGGGAAGATCCACAGAGACTAAGGAAAGCTAGAGAGTTCTGAACGCTGTCTCTGTGTAAAACATTCTTCGCCGACTCTGTCCACACCTTTGGGACCCCCTGGACCCCATGGGGCTGGACCCCAGCATTTGGCGCCAAACAGGATTCCCCTAGGTAAGCGCCCCCCCCCCCCCGCACTCGGGACGGATAGGACTCCACCAGGGTGCTGCAGACCCCCCTATAGAGGTTAAGTAGGGTAAGTGGGTGGATAGTACAGAACTTAGATTGAGAAGATGTGCCATACTGAGTCTAAAGTAAAAAGACTCTGTATTGATCTTTTAACATATGCTTGCTAGCAGAGGAGTTAAGGTTACTTCCAGTTAGAGGGAATGTTTTATATAAGAAGTATGTCCATGCTTTTCTGAGGAAGGAAAGGTGCCGGAAAGGTAAATGTAAAGGCATGGGAGAAGGTAGGCCCAAGGAGCCTTATCCTTAACTCCACTGCAGCCTTTCCACCCTGGGAAAGTGCAGGATTGGCAAGCTCTCCCTGGGGTGATAGATCAGGACTCAGGTAATAGCGGAAAGCACCAATCCTACTCTTAAAATGGATACAAGAGAGCATTTGGGGTTTTTCTTCTTAATGCCTGTTTTGGATTGAGTAAGTGGATTTTACTTAGTTTTTACATATCAAAGTTAGCTCTTGACACAAATGGAAAAACTAACAGTTTGGCTTGAAGTTGGGGTTTTGTTTTGAGGTGCTGAGGCTTGGGGGTGGAGCCAATTCACAGTAGAAATGTGAAGCTGCGGCTTTTGGGGTTGAAGTGGGAAGTTGTGAATACAGAGGAGTATGTATGTTTATATATGGTCAGAATTCCATCAATGTAAACCTTTTCTATAAAAACAAAAAAGGGGGAGACGAATGTTATATGTTAAATTTTTAAAAAATACGATGCAGAGGGTTGTACAGCAGCCAAAAAGCATCGGGCCTCCTGTACAATAGCCTCTGCTGACTCAGCCTGGTAGAAGGATACACAAACCAGAGAAGAGTTTTACCAGATCTAGTAATGATGTGGGGAAGAGGTTGTGTTTTATATCTTTCCAGAAGGAGCAGCCTCTGCCTCCCTCCTGGGGACCGTCACGCCTGGGAGGCCAAGTTAGCACACCTGACCAGTGCCCGTCTGCAGCTTATGTGCAGCCCTGAGCTGGAACCACCTGTCCATTGGAAGAATCACGTGTGCCTCCTTTTTGTCTGTCCTGATGTCCCAGCTTTGTCCCACATCTCCTTTCCTTTTTTCTTAATCTGATTACTTGTTTGCTGGTTCTTTGGCCTTTCTCCTTCTCTCCTGAACACAGCCTTTTCTAGAATCTCCCTCCCCTACTGTTTCAGGAAGGGCACCTCCCTTTTCTGCCATGACTGGGGGTGTTTGGTATATGCCCCATACGTGGAGTTGTCTTGTGCCAAGAGCCTGACATCCTGGGCTGAGAAAGCCCTGTCCCGGGACTCTCCTTTGTCCTATATTGGCCCCTCTTGCCCTTGTGTCAAGAGGGACCCTCTTCTCACAATCCAATTGCCCACAGCTGTTGCCTGAGTTCTCTGTTAATGCTGAGGTCACGGTGGCTGGTACCATGGATCTGTCTCTCGCCCAATGGAGTGAGCTGGGTCCTCTCTAGAGAAGAAACCTGGGTTCCCCAAGATATGTGATCAATGCCGGGGCCCCGCCAGCAGGCGAGGGGATCCAAAGGCAGTTGCTGGGCATGGAGGCCACAGGGGCATAGGCTATCAAGGAGACAGAACTGAACCTCACATCACCCTACTTGGCCCAGAGATGGCTGGTAGTCAACGACGGGTAAGACCCCACAGGGTGGGGCAACCTAAGACAGGCACAGCCGGGGGCCAGTAGGAGAGAACTTGGGGTTCAACAGAGGTGGGGCACAGATCCTCACCCCCACAATGGTGCAGGGGCTTGAACACTCACCCCTTCTGAGGAAGGTCTCCTGCCCCCATGGCTGCTTCTCGCTTCCCATGTCCAGCCCAGATAGGGACCCAGATAACGAATAGAGACTTGGCCCAGCTCAGATTGGGAACAGAAAGAGACTTGGTCCAGCTGAGATCAGTACCTAGATAAGAGACCTGGCTGCCAGCAGCTTCCCTCTCCCTGCAACAGGACTTGTTTCCCATTTCTACCTTGGACCACAGGGAAAGGGGCAGCTGAAAGAAAGGGCTGGGGCAGGATGCTGCCTTCTTCCCTTTCTTCTTCCTCTTTTTTCTAAACACTTTCATGCCTTGTAGTTCTTTTGCTTTCTCTTCTTTTTCTCTACTACCCTCCATTTCTGCCTCCTCCTCCTCCTCCCCAGTATCATCCATATCAGCTGACCCAGAGGGCACAGCTGGCTCCTCTCCGGACACTGACACCACCATCAAACGCGGCCCTGATGGACCCTTTGATCCAGCCGTACAACACACTGACACTTCGGGAAGCCCGTTGCCAGCAATGACGCCCCTAGCCAGATCAACAAGGACAACCAAACCACCGACGTGGGGTCAGCTGAAGAAGTTAACAACTGATGGTAGAAAAGCAAGAAGTGGAAGCTACTCTCTCAGCCAAGTCAGAGGACTCTGAGTAAATTGGCAAAAGAGACTTTTATTTGGTAGAAAAATGTTACTGTGGTTTGATTTTTCACTTATTGCTGTTTTGCATTGCCATTGTTTTATTATTCTTACTAGTTTCAAAAATGTTATGTTCAAGTTTTAAAATGTTTTAGGTTTTGCATTGGCATTGTTTTGTTATTGTTTTAATAGCCAGAGTTTTGTTCTTGATGCTTAAGTTTGATGCTTAAATTTTACTGTCATTATGGTAGCTTAAAAAATAAAAGAAGGGTGAGATGTGGGGAGCTGATATAGGGTTAAGCCTCGGACTGACCTGTGGGCAAAGTCATAAACAATTCCCAGCTTAGAGAGCACAGTCCTCCTAGCATAATTAGGCTTGACCTTATGACGCTCCCTAGATCTTAGGAAGCTAATGGGCTGAGGGAAGTGCAACAAGAACAAAACAAGTGAAACTTACAACAGTGTAAACAAGTGAAACTTATAAGAACTGTGTAACTATGGAAACCACTACCTTGTTTACCGCTCACTATAAAAATAAAGGCTCAGCTTGCCTTGGGATCCTTTTCTGTGGCCTCAGCCAGGCACAGGGAAGATCCACAAGAGACTAAGGAAAGCTAGAGAGTTCTGAACGCTGTCTCTGTGTAAAACATTCTTTGCCGACTCCGTCCACACCTTTGGGACCCCCTGGACCCCATGGGGCTGGACCCCAGCAGTTAAGTGCCTGAGAACTTTTTTTTTTTGCCTCTAATCCTTTCAGCACTATATGATGCTGTGCATTTTGTGCATGAAGTATTTTTTAAAATGGAACCTGGCCAGTGTGGCTCAGTTGGTTGAGCATTGTCCCATTCACCCAGAGGTAGCCAGTTTGATTCCTGGTCAGGGCACATGTCTGGGTGGTGGACTTGATCCCCAGTAGGGGCCATGCAGGAGGCAGCAGATTGATATTCCTCTCCCTCTCCCTTTATCTCTGTCTCTAAAACCAATAAAAGCATATTTTTAAAAATTAGAACAAAAATAAAAATATTAAAATTTTTCCTAAGAATCAAAGACCTGTGTGATGAATCATCAATTTCTGAAGCATCTGATTGGAAGCTTTACTGACTCTAGAGTGGATTCTACTCTACTTGAGGGTTGGACCCTGAAAACTTCTAAGAATTCTTTCTTTCCATGTTGAAGAAGAGTGGTGCCCACCTCTCCCGGCCACAAGCTCTGTCTTCCACTTGCTGCCCCACTTGATGCCCAGCTCTTGGCCATACTCTTCTCCATACCAGACCAGCAGCTCACAGCCCTTCCTCACGACCCAGCAGGTTCAGTAGAAAATCTGCCTGTGATATTGAAAGGCCACCAGGTTCTGCTCTTCATCATCCCGGGCGCAGTTCACATACCTGGGGTTGAGGCAGATGAAAGGAAGAAAAACACCGGCAATGAGTTCCCACTACCTGTCATATCCTCACTGACGCTTAAGGCCCTCAGCTCTGATGGCACCCACACCCACGCTCCTGGGGAAGCTTCTGTTCAATGCCCGAGCCTCTGTCACAACGTCACATGAATTCCTGTCCCTAAGTCCTGCTCTCAGTGCTCATCCTGCCTAATGCCATTTCCAAAGCCTCATTCCAGACTTTCCCATCAAACCCGGTGACCTCGAGCTTCTCTAAGCTCTAAGTCAGGTTCTGTGTGACACCACAGAACTCGGTGCTTGATGTAGGACTCATATCATTCAACACTCAGCCCAAGTCTACCTTCTCTTCAGAGGCCTTTTTCGAGTCTCCCCACACTTTATTGAAGGCATCATTCAGTTGCCTCCCCCAGGTTCCCACAGAAACGTGGAGGTCTCTCTGTCTTAGAAAAATAACACAGAACAATAGTAGTTTATTCATAATCTGTCTCCCCTGATACAAGAGAGCCCCTCAGGAAAGGGCTATGAGCACTATTACTCTGCAGGCTCCAACACCCAGTTGTAGTTAGAACTGAAGCTGGGATGATGGGCTGCCCTCACAGGTTTAGACTATCCTTGGCTCAAGGCTATCTGGGCACTGGGAACTTCTTGAAAAATAGGAAAATTATAGTTAAATGTTTATGAAATAAAATGTTTCATATCCATCTGCAATAAGTCCTCCCTAGGGACATGGATTGTGTGATCTGTGTAAGTAATGAATTCCTTCCTCTAAACTGGAACATAGTAGGTGTTTAACTGATGTCGTTAGATAAATCACAGAGTAATCCAGGGTCCTCAAGGTTTTCCCAGTGCCCAAAGTGGAGACTTGTATTTTGAGGACATATGCTGTACTTATGCCTCCTCTTTTCCTAAATGTCTCTTGATGTTGAATATCACTGTATGGAGAAAAAAGGGGGACAGAGGACTGAGGGAGACCATTAGGGAGGCATGCTTGGAAGGACAGACGTGTGGGCAGTGAGGCATGAGTGTCCTCTCTGGCATCCAGAAGCCTAGTGACCTTACCTCATCCAGTTGGCCTGAGATGTATCCTTTCCGCCCACATACTCATAGCAGTTTCTCCCTTTGGTGATCTGCATTTCAGGAAAAGAAGTTAAAGGCTGTGTGTGTGTGTGTGTGTGTGTGTGTGTGTGTGTGTGTACATAATAGAATAATTACTTTACTGTCATCAAATCTCTTTCAGCCTGCATGGTGATTCAACTGCCAATGGTGATCACAGGATATTTTTCTTACTCATCATCTACACGTCTGAGTTGATTTTTTCACTAAGCAGGAGCCACACAAGGGAGGAGTCTGTACCACTTTGCTCCCACTTACCCTCTGATCCTTAGAGAGGAGCTCCATGTTCATGCAAAGTCCGCTCAGTACACAGAGCTAACTAACCATATCGTCCCCAGCCATGTCCCAGCATGTAGAAGGTGGGGCCCACCAAGCCACAAGAGGGACGTGGGAAGCCAGAGGACAGGGAAGAGGTAAACTTCTCACCAGCCAGGAGTAGCCGCTGTTGGCTATGGCTTCATCTTCTGTGATCTGACCCTCATAAGGGCCAAAGTGCAGGTCCACCGGCAGATCGTATTCCTCATTCCACACTCCAAGCCCAGCCTCAGGGATGCCTGATGGTCCGATTCTCAACCCAGGGGGCAGAGTGAGGGCTGAGCGGTTGGCATGCCCCTTGTCCACGGCACTGTCTTTTACAAACGTAGGAGGCCCATGCACAGCACAGCTGTCAATGAAGAAGTTCTGACACTTCTCACAATCTGGAGGCAAGAGCAACAGGTATTAGTCAGGGTGCAGTGCATGTTCCTGGACATGAAGAGCTTTGGAAAGAGCTCACATCAGTTAGCCTCGATCCTGTACTCCCATCACGAGAGGAAGGGAATGATTTGGGCACCCAGAGACGAGGTGAAATTATTGCATCAAGAACACATAACATGCTCCTTGGTGAGGGTCAGCTTACAGAGGTAGTCATCGTCCTGGGGCTCGCTGATCTCTTGGTAGACACGACATTTCCTCTCTCGTAGGCTATACATCTTCACTTCGATCTCCTTTCTCCTGAGGTCTACATGGGAGAAGGGCAGGTGACTGAGGGGATGAGGTCTGGAACATTAGTCCCTGACTTGTTAGAAAACACAAAATGTCCTCCCATCAAATGATCACCTGTTGTATTATAGTATCTGGTATTTTCCTCCGTTAACTAAAAGACTAGCACTCCACACTGACTACCGATGGCTGATTCAATTTTAGTTTCTAGATGATCCCATTATGAGGTTCAACCTCCCAACCTTTAGTCATTCATAAAGTATGTATTGAGGGCACATTATGTGTTAGGCAATGAGTAAAGACCTGGGTACACAACACCAAGATAATATGGTTGCTATTATCACAGATGGATTTATTGGACAACTTGCATCTGTCAATTGTTTGAGATTTAATTTAATGCTTTCAAACTACATGTGACCCATGTTTCCTTACGTTCACTTTACACATTAGCATTCAGGAGCTCAGAGTGGTTTTAAGATTAGCTCAAAGCTTCAGTGCTAATGAAGCTTTCAAATCCAGTTTCAAATCCAGGCCTATGCAAAGTCCACCCCACATACCTAGGCTATACTGATCAGCCTTTCTAGAGGAAGTAGTGGAACTGAAATCTCCAAAGTATTTAACTTACCCAATTTCCATCTAGGGTGCTGTCCGGAGGTTCTTGCTTCTCCAGGAGGGGGCACTGGTTTCTGGGTCTGCTCTGAGCCACTTGTGGTCAACAAATTTGCTGTTCCTGACAATTCCTTCAAACTAGACTCATTACTTAATGGCGCCCTGGACTTTGCCTTCAATGTGAAAGTCACATATTAAAAGGTAACACGCATTTATTTAATTATGTAGGGTTTATGATATACATGACTTTAATTAACACTTCAACAACTCTTTGAAATACCTGGGAAGTATGAATATTAGAGGAAAAAGAAATGGCCAATGTGGGTTTTGAATCAAAGACTAGAACCCATGCCTTAAGGATCTTTCTTTATAGAACAGTGGGAATGAAAGATACTGGGAAGAGAATAAGACATAGTTGAGCTCTAACCAGTGTAGCTCAGTTGATAGAGTGTCTGCCTGCGGACTGAAGGGTCCTGAGTTCGATTCCGGTCAAGGGCGAGTGCCTTGGTTGCAGGCTCCTCTTCCCTGGCTCGGGCCCTGGTCTGGGCTTATGCAGGAGGCAACTAATCAATGTGTCTCTCTCACATCGATATTTTTTTCTATCTCTCCCTCTCTCTTCTATTCTCCCTAAAAATCAATGAGAAAATATCCTTGGGTGAGGATTAAGAAAAAAAGAAAGAAAGAAAGAAATAGTTGGTAGAGCCCTGGCTGGTGTAGCTCAGTTGGTTGAACTGAAGGTTTGCCGGTTCCATTCCCAGTCAGGGCACATGCCCCAGTTACAGATTAGATCCCAGGTTGGGGTCTGTGTAGGAGGCAACCGATCCATGTTTTTCTCTCTCACTGATGCTTCTCTCTCTCTCCCTTCCTCTCTCTCTAAAATCAGTAAGAACATATATTTTTAAAAAGAAATGGCTGGCAGAAACCTATCATGACAATAAAGAAAATTATGTTAAAATGTGCAAAGTACTATATCATGGAAAGAATATTGGTAATTAGATTAGTTGGTTCCCACCAATTCTGTTTGAATAAGGTTGTGCTACTAGCTAGTTCTCTTCAGTTTCCTGACCTATAACATGCTAATTCTTAATGTTATAATGAACATGAAATATAATGTTCAACAAAGTGTTCTGGGAGCTTTGATATAGTATGAATGTGAGATTACAGTCCTGCTATCAATGTACCTCTCAGCCATCTCTATATTTGAAATAATATGTAAATTATCTTCATTGTTCTTTGACCCTATTCTAGTTTAATTTGTAAATTTGAAAGCACTCATTCAGCAAACATTCAGGGGGCTCTGAGCTGGGCCTGGAACTTCTGAGAAGAATCAGGTGTGAACCAAAGAGCTCACAATGCAGAGGTAGGCAGGCGGAGCAAATGATTCAAACAACATGACACTGGCCTAATTAGAGCTCAGAGAAAGAAGCCATACTTATTCTTATTGGAATGAGCACTCAAAACCAGTTCCAGATGGGTGAGCTTCTATTGAATAGTGTGTCATCTCTATGAAGTCCTTAAGTCACTTTATTGTTTGTTTCTCAATCGTCAAGCCTGAAGCTCCCCAGAGTTGAGAGATGCCTTCTTTTATTTGACCGGGAGGCTCTGATGCTGGGGCTCCTATGTCCTTCTTCATGTGGGACCATGCACCGTGCAAACTGCCTAGATGTCAGTGAGCTTCCGTGAGTCGGAAGTCTCAGTGCATCTCTCGCTGCAGCCTAACGTTTGGAATCATCAGTCAGTGAAAGATGTAATCATGGATGGATAAGACAGTGGAAAGTGCATAAAACTATGGAAATTTTAATGAGCTTGTAAGTGGTTTAGAGATGAAGCTATGGATTAGATTGCACGACCACCGATACTGTGATCTCAGACATATAATCAAACACTTGTATATGTCTGAAACCTCGGTTTCCTCTTCAGAAATGGTGATAGTTATAGTACCTACCTCATAGGTAAGGTTTAAGTGAGTTTATTCACGTAGAATTCGTAGAGTCTGAAGCATTGTGAAGATAAAACCCGTGGTAGCTACTATTGTAGCTAATGTTATTAACGACTAAGATGATATTGGGCATTTTGTTGAAGAGGTCAGGAAAGGAAGGTGGCAGTTTCTAGGGTGCACTCTGATTTTTCCTCCTCTTCCCTGCATTTGCATCCAGGAGGAAGATTTTCTTTTCCACAGGATTTGGGAAATACTCACCTTCTGATGTTTATTCTGTTCCACTCTGAACGCCACCCAAGAAGGTTTAGCTAAAAGATGGTGAGAAATCAATAATATATATAATTTTAGAGAGGAAGGCAGAGGGCGAGGGAGAGAGAGATAGAAACATCAATGATGATAGAGAATCATGGATTAGCTGCCTCCTGAACACCCCACACCAGGGATCGAGCCCACAACCTGGGCATGTGCCCTGACCGGGAATTGAACTGTGACCTCCTGGTTCATAGGTTGATGCTCAATCTCTGATCCACGCCTGCCGGGTGAGAAATCAGTTTTGGTTGGCAATTGTTTCAAAATCTGGAGAATCTTATTCTTTCAGAATTCTGAATTAGAGAGTATTCCAAGGACAGATCAAGGATGATTGGAAAATGTTTTTTGATGTTTCATTAGGCTTATGCTTTTGTTGGGAGCATCAGCTAATTTTCTTAAATGTTTAAAAACAGACAAAACCCCATCTGTACTTCATCCTCTGTTCAACATATATATATTTAAATTGGCCTAGCCCTGGCTGGGCGGGTCAGTTGGTTGGAGTATCGTCTTGTGCACCACAAGGTTTCGGGTTCGATCCTTATTGGGGCGTACACGGGAGGCAACTGATGGATGTTCTTCTCTCACATTGATGTTTCTGTCTCCCTTTCTGTCTCCCTCCCTTCCTCTCTCTAGATTCAATGAATATCCTTGGGTGAGGATTTAAAAAATAAAATTTCCCTAAAAAGCAAAAAAAAATTGTCCTTTCATGACACAAGTATAATAAAGGTCATGTAACTGCAAAGAAACTCCACTGTGCAACCCGGCCCTTTCTCCTCTCTGTCTTCTGTCTTCACACTGGCCTTGTCCAGTCCAATGGCACCAGGACCACCTTGCCTCCTTTCTTTCTTATCCTTCCTCCTTTGTACATATGGACTGTGCCCACCTTCCCTAATCACTAGATTCCGTTCAGCATCACACAGTCTTAGGAACAAAGACTCAGGTCTATTCACCCCAGAAACAGAGTTTCGGGGAAGTTAGAGATAATGTCGTGATTTCAGTTATGTTCCAACCTCAGACCCATGGAACTACGGACCCTACCAACCAGACTTTCATGAAACCTGGCAGATGATGCCATGGCTGACATAGAACCTGATACAACAATGAACTACTTCCTACCCTGGCCCACAACCCAACCCCCTAACTACCATGAGCAATAATTTTCCCATATGTCCCCATGGAGGTCTTAGAGCACGGCTCACCTGTCAGACCTTCCTCCTTCTATGTGATGACAACTCTTCTGAATTAGTTATTTTTTTATTCACTTTTATATTTTTGTATACTTACTTATTAATGTTCTATTAATATATAATTATTTTATTGCTCATTCATCACCATTTATCTCCCTCTATTATTATTTTTTAATCCTCACCTGAGGACATATGTTTATTGATTTTAGAGAGAGAGGAATAGAAAGAAAGAGAGGGAAACATGGATGTGAGAGAGAAACATCGATGAGTTGTATCCCATACACACCCCGACTGGGGATGGACCACGAAACCTTTTTGGTGTATGGGAGGATGCTCCAACCAACTGAGTCACCCATCCATGGCTATTTATTTATTTTTATTTTGAGAGAATGTTTATTAAAGCTGGGGACAGTGAAACAAGGAAGGGCTTAGGATAGAAGCAGCAGCAGGAGAGAGCCTAGGCTGGGCTGCTGTGTTGCTCTAGAAAGGTTATAGGAAAGAGTTCAGCCTAGGCGGGCGGCTTTGGCTCATTGGAAAGTCATAGAAAAGGGGCCTTGGAGACAGGTTCAGGGGGTTAGCCTGAATGAGCTGCCGCTGCCCGTACTCCCTGGTGCAAGTCTCCTGGGTCTCTTAGTTTAGGAGATGCACACCTGTGTGTGTGTGTGTGTGGGGGGGTGGAATAGAGAGGGGAGGGAGGGGGGAGGGAAAGGGGTGGGGTGGGTGTGCTCCTGGCGAGAGAACAGCTTAAAATATATAGTCTGTATATATATCTATATATCTATATAAATATCTATCTATCTATCATCTATCTATATCTATCTATCTATCTATCTATCTCTATCTATCTATCTATCTATCATCTATCTATATCTATCTATCTATCTATCTATCTATCATCTATATCTATCTATCTATATCTATCTATCTATCTATCTATCTATCTATCTATATCTATCTATCATCTATCTATGTATTAGAGTCCCATTGCACAAAATTAATAAATTTATGCACTGGGGGCGTGGCCGGGAGCGGGGGCGGGAATCCCTCAGCTGGCCTCTGACAGTCTGGGAGCCCTGCGATCCATCGCCTGCAGAAGGAGGCCCCGTTCAGCAGCCCCAGCTCTGCATTGGTGGCCTGGGCCTCCCTCTTTGGGGTGATGGGGAGCCCCCATTGATCACCCAGAGGCTAGTGGCCTGGGCCTCCCTCTGCATGGCATCATGGGGGATGGTGGTGCTGGACCGATTGCGTTTCACAGGCCTTGGCTGGCCTGGCGCCAGTGGGTGTCATAGCCTGGTCCTCTGGTGGGTCCTTCAGCTGGTCCTCCCTGGATTTGCATATTATGGTTTTATTATAGATTTAGGGGGTGGGGCTGGGTGGAGGTGAGCAAAGGGGGAGAAATGGGGGACCTCTGTGATAGTGTCAACACTAAATCTGTATATAATTATTGTTACACATTTAAAGAGGTTCTATGAACCTGGCCAGTATGTCCGAGTGGTTGGGCCTCGACCTATGAACCGTGAGGTCCCGGATGGATCCCCGTCAAGGCCCCAGGCCAGGTTCCCGGCACGATCCCGGTGGGGGGCCTGCAGGAGGCAGCGATGGAGGTTTCTCTCTCTCTCTCTCTCTCTCTCTCTCTCTCTCTCTCTCTCTCAATAAATGTATTAATAAAAAGGGGTTTATGTGAACAGCCCCTGGCTGTGTAACTGCTTTGCCTCTTGCTCGTCCCTGGTAACTCCCGAGAGGCCGCCCGACCTGCACCCGGGTCGGGGTCAGGCACCTGCGCGCCCTCCGCCCGCACCTCGCGGCCTCGGGGTCCACTCGTCATCCGAGTCCTCGGAGTCCTCGGCCCGGGGCTTGGCGGTCCTCCCGCGGCAACACGTGAACGCGGGTCGAGGGGCCCTGAGACCTGGAAGGAGAGAAAGAAAGTCTGTCCTGCGGGCGAAGAGCTGAGGGAACAGCAGAGCCAGCGCTGGCCGGGAGC